CTCATTATACAACCAATATAAAAAAATAAATTAAAAAAAAAAAAAGAGATTTGAAGGGAGTGCATCACCCTTCCTTCCCCTTCTCTTAATAATGAGCCAAATAAGAGAGAGAATAGATATCTTCTTTACTTTCCTCTTCTTTCCCTTCTATTCTCTCGATCTAAACGAAGTGTAAGGGGACCAACGATCTGTTGGTCCAAATGGAAAGAGCTCGATTCTTTTTAAACAAAATTTGAGTTTGAGTCTTGTGAATAGAAAAATAAGTGCTGGAAGAGCTTTTCCTGTAATGAGATCTGACGCGATTCTATTCTGGATTAATGGAGATCTAATGTAGTTACCAAATATCGGAAGGTTAATTAAAAAAAAAAAAAAAAAAAACAAAAAGAGTATATGATGAAGTGTACACGAAAACAAATACAGCAAAAATTAAGAAAAATAGAAACAATAGCAAACAAGGTTATCTACCTGTAAAGTCAACTGCAACCATAAAATTGAGCTCAAATCCACTGGATATGTAATCCAGAAAACTAAATTGTTGCTTCTCAACAAATTGATCTACAAAGAGTTGACCCTTTGCAACCTATAAGACAAAAATAGATTAAATAGATTAAATAATGTAGGAAAACTGACAGAAAAAATTTAAATCCATTCCTGAGTATGGATAAATACCTTATCACGACCACTATGAGATGGGAAAACAAAATTTGCACCAATTCTTTCGCAGTGAAGTTTTTCTAACTCCGACATTGATTTTTGAAGTTTGCTGGTCAAGTATATGAAGAAATTAAAAATAAGACATCAGTATTCATTCCAAGAACCAACCCTTTTACTATAAAAAATGCAAGGATAAAGAAAATGAAAACTGTAAGAACCAAGAAGATTCAATTTACCCCATGAGTACATGATTACCACTGCTGTTAAAATCAAAACATTCTATAACTAACGGGTCATCCTGTAATCACATTTGAAAGTCAAAAACTAAAACTGATGTGAACTATCAGCTCAACACTTGAAATGCCAGCTCAAGAATAACAGAGGGTTGACAAACTAGCCTTGCTTCCAAACTGTTGCATGCTCAGACATAAGGGCCTCCAAACTGGATTTAAGTTGTTATTCACCACCTCTGTCTTGCAAATCGGGATAGAACTTCCAGTTTCAACTATTCTTGAAATTCTTAGAAAGGGATCCTAAAAGAAAACGATAACAAGAAAATTAGAAACAAAGTCATTTGCACAAGGAGACAAATATAGCTTCTTTTTAAATGCATACACTCTTAGAAAAGAGGTCCTTGTTCTCCAAGTTGCAACAACGAACAATCATCTCAACAGCAGTTCTTGAAGCAATTGTTTCTTCAGCATGGACGGTAAGTGTTCCAAGGTTTCTTGAAACTCCACGGCCATTTTTGTTGTGGAGATTTAAGGTTAAAGTCCGGTTTTGTTTGGTCACTATCTGCATGCAGAAAAGGCAAAATATCTCATTTTCCAATTAAGCATATGATAACTGCTAACTTTAAAATGGTTTTAAGCACTAACGTTTGACAATTAGCATTAACTGGCGTACGACTATGTGAGGAACAACAAATGCCCGTACAAAGCAGGTTTTTCAAAAGCTTTGAAAATTGAAGGGCGGCAGGTAGAAAACAATAGCACTGACATTTCAACGTCCACCTTTTTTTTTTTTTTTTTTTTGTTGGGTTTTATTTTGATGGTATCATGCCATTCTCCACTTGGAATTGAAAGCAGGGGTCCACAAAAATATATGACAAAATCAGTGTTGTTACAGGCAAAAGGTGAGGCAAAGTGATGGCTTAAAAAATGCTGAAGCAATGAAGCGAAGCGATCACTTCTTTGAAGTGAAGCGAGTAACACTTTGAAGTGATCAATTATTAAATAGAATAGAACTAATTAGAATAGAAACTTAAGGGTATTAAGAGTGGAAAAGTAGAATATGGTGCAAGTAACATGTTTAAATTAAATTCTACTTTACTGAATGCAAGTAGAATTAAATTCTGTTTTGGAATTAAAATTCAAGAGTCTTATACTGTGAAAAACTAACTATTTCAATCTATACCATACAAATGATATTAAGTTTCTTAATCAAGGTCTCGTAGACTAGATAGATCTGAATATTATAAGTTTACCAACAAGAAATGGAACTCAAAGATAAAGGAGGGATAAAGAGCAAATGCATAGAATTAAGACAATACTAGAGAATTATGTTAATATTTACATAAAATTTTATCTTAACTAAATTAAGATAATCAGTTGATGGAAAAAAACAAAAGGAAGAAAAAGAAGAAAGAAAGAAAGAAGAGAATATGTCATAAAGTTAGGGAAGAGGATGAAGCCAGGGAAGAAGAAGAGATGGGAAGGAGAATATGCAAATTAAA